CTTTATTTCGAATGATGTGGGGACTAGCAGGTTAACAGAGTTGGAAGGGACCTTGTAGGCCATCTACTCCAAGCCCCCTCACCCAAGCAGGAGACCCTACACCATTTCTGACAGATGGCAGTCCAGTCTCTTCTTGAAAGCCTCCAGTGATGAAGCTCCCACAACTTCTGTTCTCACTGTCAGAAAATTCCTCCCTATTTCCAGGTTGAATCTCTCCTTGTTCAGTTTCCATCCATAGATTTTTCATAGATTAGGCTATTAAGATAGGCTTGGAAGTTCTGACATTGTCAATAAAACAGCAGAGCCGGAACAAGGCATGGCGTGGTTGGCTTGCTGTACCTTCCTCGTCCTCCAGCAGAATCCACATTAAGAGCACCAACATTGGCACTGTCACCCCATCCAAAATGAACCGTGCCCGAGAGGGACATTACTCTACATCTTGAGTTGTGGAAGATAGCTTTTTTTCTTGGCACAGAAATCTTTGGCAAAGTGAAGCAGGGGGAGAGAGAGATATTTCTCCCATCCCTCCAGGGACCCCAGAGGAGAAAAAAACCCCAATGAAGAGCTCAAGAAAAGTCAATCTCTCTGAAGCGGAGTTCCTGCAGAAAGGCGCTGTTAATCAACCAAGTGTTTTCCCTTTCCTTGCCAAACTCCATCTCTTTGCGGATAACAAGGTCAGCCATTCAAAGCATGCTGCCCCCCCCCACGTTAATGATCATTTGCTGTCAATCAACCCAGATCGAAAGAACCACACTTTGTGGGAAAGAATAAAGCCATCTCAATTTAGCAATTAAGCTACTTGCAGACTTGACCGGTTCAGCTACAAAAAAAGGCAAAGCCAGGGATTTTTTTAAAAAACCAGGAAATGAAGCACACCCTTGTTTATCTTGCAATAATTAAAGGCTTAATTTAGAAGCCTTCACTGATGAAATACACATGTCACTGCCTGAATTCAAAGGCCGATTGGTGGTTCCTTTGGCCACTGCAAGATTCGGAATTAAAAGAAAGGAAGGGAGAAAAAAGGGAAAATTAAATAGCAAAGGTGGGATTAATGGGGAATGATGGGGGGAAATTGGGGAAAGGNAAGCCAAGGTCATCCTTTGTCCTCTGCACCTGACCGGAACTGGATGGGTGGAGCTGCCAGCATGGCAGTAGGAGATTGGGCCATGTAATGGACTGATGGGTGTGGGGGCAAGATCTGGAACTTTCAACTGGGTGGGGAAACCCAGGAAGCTTTCAGATTTGGGTTTTCCCAGATGTGCCAACATGGCTCTCTTAATAAATTGGAACTTTGAGTAATACTTTGCCTTGGACTCTGATTTAATTTTGAATTCTGTTTGGAACCCTGACACAGTGTCCTTCATCAACATAGAGTTTGGGAGGGTCCTTCAAAGGAGCAGGACAGCTGTTTGGTGACAAGCTGCCCTTCTTTTGAAGTCTACATTTACAAGGACCACGAGATATTTCCTTCCTCCAATTGTATCTACAGCTGTGTGCTTTGAAGACCTGGCCTGGGGAGACTGATTGAAGGCCGATCTGTGATCTTCATCACTGTGGAATTGGCTCTTTCCAAGGCCTGGCCTAACATGCTGAAGCCCTGTGTCAACCCTGAAGTGAACCTGGCTGAGCCCAACTTGGAAGCTTCAGGGTTGTCACAGAATGGAGGAAGCGGGGAAATAGTTGTTGAGACTCTGGAAAGAGTGTAGAAAAGAATAACCAGGATGATTATGGGACTGGAGGCTAAAACAATTGCAGGAACTGGGCATGGCTAGTCTAGAGAAAAGAGAAGGACCAGGGGAGACAGGATAGCAGTCTTCCAATATTTGAGGGGCTGCCACAGAGTGGAGAGGGTCAAGCTATTTTCCAAAGCACCCAAAGGCCAAAGAAGGAATAATGGATGGAAACTGATCAAGGAGAGACTCAACCTAAAAATAAGGAAGAACTTTCTGACAGCGAGAACAATCAACCAATGGAATAGAAGTTGCCTTCAGAAGTTGTGGGAGCTTCATCACTGGAGGCTTTCAAGAAGAGACTGGACTGCCATCTGTCAGAAATGGTGTAGAGTCTCCTGCTTGAGTGTGGGGTTGGACTAGATAACCTCCAAGTCCCTTCTAACTCTGTTAATCTAATCTAACCTAACCTAACCTAATCTAATCTAATCAAATCAAGGTGGGGTTTTGTAGCCAAAGCAATAACGTTTTCCTGTGGGAACCAAGGACATTCTTACAGGTGGCTGGCCAGAGGAGGAGCAAAGTAACCCAGCAACCGGCCAGCAACTGGATTGGACAGCGTAACCAGTGACTTGGGGGGAAGGGGAAACTTTCATTTTTGAATTAGGTGAACTTTCAGAGTCGGCTTTCACCAGTTGTGCCAATACGAAGCATCCAATAAAATTGTTCTTTGAGGGATTTGCCTGCTTCGGAGTTCTGCTTCCTGTGGGTACATTACTTGGAACTCTGACATGAAGCCGACTCTCACACCCTGCTTAAGACAGGGACGGACGTTCCGCCTCTTCCCTAAAGTGCGGAAGTTGAACATGAGCATAATCTCTTCTCATCTCCCCCCTTTGGTATCAGATCTAAAGAGTGAGA